TTAGAACTGACAAACAATCTATGCTTTACTACAGAAAATTGCCTTGAATTTTTTTTACGTTAACTAGTGTAAAACAAGTAGTAGTAATATCTTGTGGAAATGATGCTTTTGTGTTCAGAAGTTAGAAGAGTCGGGGACTATACATTTCCGGAAAATTCTTCTGAAGGCGAATCAACGTTTTTGTTTAATCGGGACACTTGTAATTTTCCTATACAAACAGAAATTTCCAAGAGTTCCAAATTGACTTGACAGGTGTAAAATAAAACAATTTCAAAATTTACGCGCTGAAAAAATGAAAAGCGACCATTTGGGTATAAACTGATCACTTCAAAGCCTTTAATCAAGGTGAAAAATGTTTAATTTTTCAGGGGAAAAAAAAGAAAAAGAAAACAAATTAATACCTGAGTCATTTTTTCTCTGTTAGCTTTTGGGTTGAGTGGAGCTTCTGTCAGCAGAACTGGGTGTTCCTCAGGAGCTATGCGCAGTTCGTTGTAGAAGGTGTGGTGCCAAATCTAAAATTTAAAATAGAGTTCACGGACATTTAGAAATCTGGAACTAGCGGTGGAATTCGTGCCTGGTATTAACTAATCCTTAGGGTTTTAATTACCTTCTCCATGTCATCCCAGTTGGTGACGATACCGTGTTCGATGGGATATTTCAGAGTCAGAATACCTCGCTTGCTCTGAGCTTCATCGCCGACGTACGAGTCTTTCTGACCCATACCAACCATCACGCCCTGATGTCTTGGACGACCAACGATGGAGGGAAACACTGCACGGGGAGCATCGTCTCCGGCAAAACCGGCCTTGCACATACCGGAGCCATTGTCAATAACCAAAGCAGCAACGTCNAACGATGGAGGGAAACACTGCACGGGGAGCATCGTCTCCGGCAAAACCGGCCTTGCACATACCGGAGCCATTGTCAATAACCAAAGCAGCAACGTCTTCATCGGCCATTTCTTTAGCTATTAGATGATCAGCTGAAATGAAAGAGCTTTCTCAATTCCTTACATCAACGACGAACGAGCAAGTGCAAACGGCATCAATCGGGATGGGTTTTGCGGCTTTATACAGGTCGAGTTCTGTGCACATGCGCTGTAAAGCTCTTTCCACATGTAGCTAGAAATGTTAGTTCTCCTGACAGATTGCATAACGATTGCGTTCATGTGAGTTGTGAGAATACGATGACACATCTGGACTACCCTTAGTTGATGGTTTTCTTTATTCTCTTCACCTGTCCGCTCTAATATCTATTGATATTTTAAAGAGAAAGGAGATGTTAATCTCGTCCGAGACCACCTGTGAGTCCTTTCGTAAACCCATGCTGGACTCCCGTTATGTCTTTTTAAAATACAGACAACTCAGCAGTCTTAAGATATTTTTCTTTTTGTTGAAAGATATATTCACTTTTTTAAGCCATGAATGTTCTGAAATGTTTGCAGTCTCCACTTCTAATAATCCAAGTTCTCGTTCATCGATCTCATTCGCTTACTGTTGCAACTGAAGCGAATGAAGCATCATTTAAATTTTCTTAGAGAGACGACTGCTTCTTGTTTTCTAGTTTTAATATTTTATTCTTCGAGTTCAGTTAATTCATTAGCAGCAGGATTCTTTCAACAGCAGCTTTGTTACCATTCTTGAAAGATTCTTCCCTAGTTTTTCTCCATATTTGGTTATGAATCGACGCTTCGACCGATCTTGAAAATCCACCTGTCTCACAATAAAGGTTGAGTAATCGATAATCACCGCCAATCCTCAACAGAGTTTTTAGCGTAACGTTCTCTTTGAAATCTCAGTCTCCAACAAAATAACACTGAGAAGCTTGTTGTCCTTAGAGAATACTTTTTAATCAGTCACCGATTTCTTGACAACTTCAGATCATCTTAAAATTTAGGACTCCTAACCTAAATTGTTGTTGAATCTTGCAAAAGGGAAAAATCACTATAAGCTTACTTAGGACATCTTTCGGGATCAACCCTGACTAAAGTAGCTTATGGTTGGGAAACCTTGTACTTGACTAAGGAAGATGGCGAGCAGTCCTACGAATGGGTGCACGGTGTTATTGTGGTGTATTATTGAGAAATGAAACAATAATTATTTTTATAATTTACCCTCACAGTGTCTCCATCAAGGTACATAAATGGGTTACCATCTATTAAAAGGACTAGCATCCTGGAGAAGAGCAGCAGTTCTGCTAGTCGCTTCATGTTATGGAAACAAAGTGTCTGCATGATGGGCTACTAAGCTCGAACGCAGAATTAATTCCCCCCCCCCCCCCCCCCCCCCCCTCCCGAGGA